CGTCAATTCTTGCAATATTCTGCAGCGGTGCAGTACAGTACTGTATTGTAGTCAAATGTCATTTACAAAACACCGGCGTCGTACAGTAGTATTTTTTGCGATGACACCGCACAAAATGTTCCACAACGGCATTGGCTGTTCTCTCAGTTGTCACGAAAGCTCTCTTGCGGCCGAAAGTAACCGTGCGTCGCGGAGAGATGGCCCAACACGGTGTCACGGCATCACCTCCGCCGTGTCGTAAATATGCCCCATATTTGGACACCGCACGAAGCTCTTGGAAAGCACCTCCAACGGACACGAACCCAACTGCGCTGTGTTCCCACGACTCCCAGCTGTTCGTATTTCCCGCGTCCCAAATCTCGATGTGAAGCCGAGTCCCTATCACACACATGTCTCCCTCGTCGAGTCGCAAGAGAACATGCATGTAAACACGGGGCACCGCTGCCCGAGATCAATTCACTATGGGACCAGTCGTGACCAAGTCACTCCGAAAGTCCATGCTATCCATATCCATGACATTCATTTCCAGGGTTTTCTGTGTCCCGACTCTCAATGGCAAAGCGGGGTCGCGGCTCCTACGCACACATCCCCCTCGTCGAGTCGCAGCAGAAAGTCGAAACACCGGGGCGCCGTTGCTCGAGATCAGTTTCACTGTCGGAGGAGCACGTGACAAACTCCCATTCTTGCCCATGGCATTCACATCCATCCATGATTTTCTGTTTCCGTGCAGTCCCGGTGTGAAACCGAGTCGCCACTTCAACACACGTGTCTCCCTGGCTGGATCACATCATCAGACGTATGAAAACGCGGGCCGTCGTTGCCAACAATCTGTTCGCGTCGGCTTCCAAGTCGCTTCGTCGTCGAGGGAACTGATAGGCATCTGAATTCTGAGTAACACCCTGCTCAAACAGTGGCAGAGGCAAGGACAGAAAGACATGCCAACCCACATTGCACCCCCGTGGCGCAGTCCCCCGACACCAAATCATTGTCCAATGAAGTTTGCCACCCACACGCTCTTGCTGACGTTGGTCGCTGGGGCGTTTCCGTGGCTGCCACCCTCCCTACGCTGCGCGTTCGGTGAAGGATTATGGACTTCACCCCCTGGCACAATGTTGTGCTTGTGGATCTTGGGGGCTGCGTGCCTCCCTCACCCGCGCAGGCAAGTTTATGCCAACCCCTAGCGGCTCGTGCGCCCTCCTCCGACATAAATGCCGTCCCTGTCGGCTTCTTTTGAACGTGTGCCTTCCCACATCTGTATTCCCACCTTCGTCGGCCGTGGGAAAACACGGCGCAGTTGGTTTCGTGCCCATTGGGGGTGCGTTTTGAAGAGATTCGCGCCGTATCGTAAAGAAGCATGAAATCGGCACAGCCGAGGTGGTGCCGGGACATCGTGTTGGGTCATATCTTAGCAACAACCGGTCGCTTTAGGTCGAAAGGTGGCTTGCGCGACAGGCAATGTGGTTTCGAAGCATTTTGTGCCGTGTTTCGCCTTCCATACCCGCGACGCTTTCGAGATCTCGGTACGCCTGTGCAGAGCTATGCGCCTATCCTTCGCTGATCGCTCCAGGGGTTCCCCAGTGGTTCAGTTGGTGACCTCGCAACCTGCCAACCGTCGGACACGGGAGTTGGAATCTCACCGCAGTTGCACGAAGTGGGACATTTTCTCACAGTTTTCACGAACAGCAGTGGAAGAAGAGTGGTTACCGATCAACGTTTGTGAATTACTACCCCAACGTATACATCATGGGCAGCGAGTGAATGGAACGACCGAGTTCCTTCTCGTGATGAAACGTATATGGCAGTCGCCTCTAAAATATGTCGGCGAAACTAACGCGATGGTACAAGCGTGCTTACGTGTGGGGCCATGTTTTTCTCCCGTGTGACCCCCGCTGGTACGGCAAAGAACGTTCCGAAACGCGCAAAGTCGAAGTCCAGAACAACCGGGATGTCAAATGTATACACCGTGGACGACCTTCGTTTTTCAACGGGACTAGACACCTCCGTCTACGCAACGCATGCATGACAGAAAACAATGAAGTGCTCTATCTACATGTAGTTCGACCCGAAGCGATCGCGGAGAACCTTGTCAACCTGATGCACCCGTGATCGACACTGCCGTCCTTAACCCGCCTGTAGATGCACTCTGGCACGCGGTGCGGTCTCGCTCTACAAAACAGGCGTTCACTGCCAAAACGCTTTACCACGCCGTGTGCGGGCTCTGTTACATGCGGTGTGAACGCAATCGTGCAGCACTTTGACATACTTTACCCCGAAGAACTTTCCCCCCCACCTTCACCAATACGCGTTGGTCGAAGATCCTCAGGTGGCGACCTTGTCCGAAGTTGGTGCAAAGATTCAGATGTACTGGGATATTTCGCCTCCCTCCCCCACTTCGCCGTTGTCCTTTCGAGAAGGGCATTTATCGCGTCAAGGTGTCATCAAGCACCACCAGGATATGCTTATAACCATGGAAATCCGTCTGCCTAGATTAGCCAGGGATGAAGAGAACTTGTGACAATGATTTCGTGGGGTACACACGAACGCGAGCTGTCAATTTGCAGCTGAACGCAACAGTACCAATAGAGGCATGTGTGACTATGCGCTGCTATTGCAGCAGCACCAGCGATGAAGCCACCGAACACATGCCTTCACAGAGTTACTTGTTGCAGACCATGCTCTTTCACCCCCGTAACAACGGAAATAGACGCCGTTAGAGCTATCGTTCACCCAGAATATGTACTAAATACTGTAGCAACAACGTGATCACCGACAGAGAACATAAAGGAAAAGCATTGAACAAGTCACGAGGAAACCGCTACGAAGGAACAAATACATGCACAACCTATTCGCTCACCCTTACGAAACCGGGGAGTAGTTGTTCGCCGACCAACTACATTAAGAGCAATCTTAATCTTGCCCTGGACGTGTGAAAATGGGCGGCACGCATCCACAAAGAAAGGGGTACAGTATGTAGATATTTTCGCCTACCAACCAAACCATCGCCCATGCTCTAGGGGTGTGAAAAGGGCTGTACACATCAGTCAAAGTAAAGACGCGATACACAACCTGTCGTAGCAAGCCTATCTCCACACGCCGACAACGTGACCGGGGTCTCTCAACCGGGTTCATCGACGACCGGGAATCAAACGGGGATTATCAAGCGAAAACACAGTCAAACCCACAAACCCGCCATGCCTCCTCCGAAAACACGACGCCAAGCTTCTCTTATCCGCATTCCTCAGACCGTCACATGCCAGTCGATCGTTGCCATACCCTGGCCATTTGCAATTTTTGGTGGCAGTGGTCATTCCGGGTTTGTTCCTTGTGGGCTTGCTGGCGGGGAGGCTCGGCAGCGGCACGTCCTCTCTCGTAATATGACAGCCATGAACGGAGCGTAGACGTATGGCAGCATTCCTCCAGTCACTCCTGGGGGTGGTACCCTACAAACGCGGTAGTGATGCAAGCTTCCTGCAGTCCTTTCCCATCGAAGACGCCGAAAAAAAACGACGGAAATCTAACGCCTGTCACTGCTTATCGACGGCGGACGCGTTGAATCTGATGTCTCCGTGAGAGGCAGTTTGTGGGGCAGCAGAGGTCGCCGGAACCGTGGAACATTCCTCCTCGGTGATCCCACTCCCAGTCAACCGGTGCGGGAATCAGCAAAGGGGAGCGCCCAACTGGAAGGAAGAGGAGTTTCGTTCAAACGGGTGTGGGGCAAAAGCCGAAGGCGGTCAAGTGTGCACGATACTCTCATGGATGCGGTGCCGCGGGTTTGAAACCAGATGGAGATGGTGTGAGAAGCTAGGTCGAACGTGATTCGAGAACTTCCAAGTTTGAGGTGAGAGCCGAACGTCATCGTGCAGGCTGCGGCAGTGTCCGAGAAAGGTGTGGTAGATAGAAACACTTGTCCACAGGCGGGATATCTACTGGGAGCCTCCGCTTCGCAGATGCTGAGGCATAAGATATGACACGGCTCTAACGCTACACACGTTGAGCGCGACCGAGGAGCTACATGCTTGACGTTGTTGGCGTCCTTTTCTCCCGCACATAAGGCGCGTGTGACCCTGATGGTATGCCAAAGCTCACCACTGAGGCGCATGTCACAATGTCACGACCACAGCGCAAACAATTGATGACTAGCTACCCATTTTCAACACGACGGCGAGGTAGATCGACGAGACGGGACTGCGGTGTGTGAGATGCTAATTGGCTCACCTGAGTCTTTTTGGTGATGGTGTTGGCGTAGTCTGGTTGTTTGGCAGGACCACACCGTCGACGCCGGACCAATACGCCCCATCCAGGGCAGCCAGAGAAACACAAGAGACGCGCAATATCAGCGTAGGAGCAAGGGCGAGAACGTGCTTTGCTGAACATAGACGACATACATGACACTCACCCGGCCTGGTCGTAGCTTTTCAGCATTCTCGAACGATAGTCTTCGAAGAGGTGATCCCGCAAAAGACACTACCTCCCAAGTGGCCTACGGGAAGCACAATCAGACCTCGAGGTGCCCTGGAAAGGTTGTCACTCTATCCCGAACCACCCTCTGGGTAAGAATGTCAGACGCCGGGTATGTGGCGCCGGCAAACGCGCCTCATCTATCACACCTCCAGGGCAAGGACGGATATATCGCAATACCCCAACACTCACATGTCCTGTTGTTGGGCGCGGTACGTTTGCTCCACTTCTAAGCGAGAGGTGCGTCAACGTGGGCGGCAGCACTGCGAGCTTCAGCCCTCGAGTCCGTCGACGTGGGGGCGGCAGTAGCCGGCAGGACCGTTTGCTGCTGCTGCTGCGGGTGCGTTGTGCCTTCACCCTCGGACGCGGCTGACGTTGCCGACCCATTCGACAGGTACACGGCGATCTCACCCCTCGCACATATGCATAGCGTACTAGTATTGGTGAATAGTGCGCATGTTGTTTGGTGTTGATGCCGCCGCCCCCCTCCTCCACCCAATGCGCCTCCTCGTTGACAGGAGGGGGGCGAATCCAGCTCGTCATCACGTGCCACCCTGCCCGTTCTTGGACTGTTTGTAGTTTTCACGACCGCGGCGCTCGCGCTTGAGGCCGTCGTGTAGTTGCCGGCAGACCTCGCTCATGAAGAGTACTCTCCGCACAGCAGTTGGGTGAAAAGGTTTCTCAGGATTCAGCCTCAGCCTTCCGCCTGTGGCTGGCGTTGTCTGGGTTTGTTCGTACGTGAAGTGACGGTTCACCTGTGGCCCCGGAGGAGTTTTTGGAGCGCACAGAAAATGAGGTACTGCGATTAGTCTAGATGCTGTAATCAAGTTTGCACGGTCTCCGAAGGCGCGGACAAACAACGATACAACAGAATTTCTACTACGTGTATTCGCGGTGCAAATGTTGTTGTTCGCGCGTGTGTGCAGACACGACGTGAAGTTGCAGTCAGTCAAGTCAGTAAGTCAAACTCGTTATGACTGTTGTCAGGCTGCTCGTACAGTGTGTTCATCGGATCGTCATTGGTTTTAGTCTATGCCCCAGTTCTTTCCAAACGCTGGGGTCAAGGCGTGTTCCAGCCGAGACCACACAGAACCTTGTATCCCCCGCGGTGTTTGTTTTGCAAATCGTGCAGCAAGGGAGACGGCGAATATCCTTCCCTCGTCGGCGTTTGTCGGAATTGAACTGGTGTACGAACTGCGCTAAGAAATCCGTGTCACAGTCGGGGTCTGAGATTAGCTTTCGGACCGCCCAATGGGCAACTACGAGGAGGACGATTGATTTTACATGGTGTATTCTAGGGCGCGACGATCGCAACACCTTGTAAATATGGTTTGCATAAACGATCATCTGGTATATCACAACCGTGCCATTAAAATTTGGCAGAATAGGAAAACAGAGCCACAAAGATAACGAGCGAAGTCGTGGTTCGTGTGTGGTCGTGTGTGCGTCGAAGTACCGTTGCGTACGATGGCTTACATGACATGTAGATGAACTGGTGATCTGTCGCTTCAATAAGGAGGACTGCAGCACTCACGAAAACGTCAAACGTCAATTTGCTCCGTCGTACGGACTTAGCCTTTCCTCTGCTGCCTAGGGGATACGAGCGGACGCGAGTAACGCACACCACGTGTGAGCTTTGTACAAGCGTCAGCTTTCGTTAAAGCTGTTTGTTTCGTAGTCTCCGGTACATCTTTGAGATCACCTTCTTCCCCAGCGGCAAAACAAAAAGAGAAAAAGCTGAAAAAAGGCCCGGGAAATCGACGACGAGGTTGATGGCAACACTTGCCGAAATTACAGTCGCGTCTCTTTTCACATGGAAACTTACAACAGACCGCAGCCAAACCAATGTCTGCGAGCCTCGCCGCGAGGGCGCAGCGCACTCATCAAGCGATTGCCGAGCTACACACACACGGCACGGGGTACCAACCTACAATACTAGACGACAACAACAAACAAACAGTTGTATAGTTCCAGTAACTCCTCCACGCCCCCACTCCGCCATCTCTACTCCCTCCTCCTGGCCTCTACCAATTGTAGCTACCTCCAGTCGGCATTGGCCAGTAGTCTGGCGTTGAAGTCAGCCCGAATCTCGGCCGCTATCCTTGCGCATGCTGCCGCGATTCTTGCTTCGCATTCGGCTCGAAGTGCCGCATCCCTTGCCTCGCTCTCGGCCCAAAGCGTGGCCACAGCGCGGGCGTGCTCTTCCGCCATCCTATCGATCGCGGCCATCGATGTGATCTGGTCCGCGGCCCTCTGCAGTCTCACGTCTACCACCTCTTGCCTTGCGTCATCAAGCTCTCGCCTCACCTGGGCAGCAGCGGTGAGAAGGCCGTTTACCAAGGTGGTTACATGGTTAAGCTGAGCCGCCCCGCCGCCGATGATCGCCTGGAGGTTCACAATTGATGTCGCCAGCCATTCCGCCGTTGCAACCAGCCGGCGTGTCTCGCTGACTGTCGCCTCGAGATTCAAAACCGTTTCTGTCAGCCATTCAACGGTTTCTGCCAGCCGACCTCTCTCGCGGCACATGGCGCCGCGGGCGTTCATGGCGCATCGGTGGAGTTCCTCCACCCGACCCAGCCGCAGGTTGATGGTCGACACGGCTCCCCACAGCCTGGGAATGGCAGACGTGAGCTCTGCCTGGAGCCTGGCAAATGGCCTTCGCAGGCCGGAGGCGACGATTCCAGAGATCATTCTCTGCAGGTATGCATGCGCCGTGGCTGCCACTGTCAATGCCATGCGCCGGGCGGTGAATGTGAGCAGCCTGACGAGGCCGACCATCGCAAGAACGGAGAACACCCCTCCCACGAGAAGGAGTGGGAACCTGCACCACCAATGAAGCGATCAAGATGGGATCCGCGGTACGAGTAGGGTCAATCAGTGCGAGCAGCGGAAGAAGCAACCAATCCCGGTTGTTGTTTAGACTGAAGTACTCTTCTCGCGAGTTTCAGCCATTCCTGAAGTGTACATCACCAATGCACGACCATGATAGCACCCCGGACTATGGTGTAATCGCGAAAGTTGGTCGAAGGCGGCGGTAGGTAGTGCGCTGCAAGAGCTGGATGCGCGGGCAAGCAGTGCAGCGGACAGCGGTAGAAAGGGATATGACAACTCATCGTTCGTGCGATGGCTTGCCAGCAATGTATCGCGCCTACCTCCGTCCCGGAGTCTCGGCGGGGGTTGTGGCCGGCGATGTTGCGGTTTCGGGGTCCTGTTTAAGGAATAGGGCGGGAGGTGGAAGGTAGGTGCGCAAGCATTTGGCCGTTGCCAAAGAGCAAAGAGTGTTCCAGGAGTCAGCCTTGTGTCTCGGGTGTCAACGCCTTCCCCTCTTGATTGTGTGCGTATTCGAGGCCTGCATAAAGAAAGCAGCAACGACGCAAGTATCCACATGGCCAGAGCGAGCGCGATAACCGGGCCTGGGAACGTAGGCTAGAGTGTGTGCTGCCGTAGTTCCGACGAAACGTGGGCGCGATACAGCACGGGGGTGCTGTAAAGAAAGCCGATGCTGCACAATCTTGTAGACCGCGCTCGACGTGGCTGGCTGTCGATTGAACACAGTGTACAGTAGAGCAGCGCGAGCCCCACTCGTATGATGACTTATTTACAGAGGGGCTACGGTAGAAATCGAGTGAAGATGAAATGTGCGTCAAGCGTGCAAGGGAAGAGCACTCGAAATAGAAGTGGACGTTAACAAGCCTGTATTCTTGTCAAACCTTGGTGCCGAACGTGCTTGCAAGTGCAAGGTTCGGAGTCTGGACTTGAACGACTTCCGTTATCTCCGTTCGCACGTCTGCCCACGCCTGCTTCCCGGACGCCTATGCCAAAGCGTTACGACGATACGACGAGTCGGGAAACGGAAAGCGAGCAACCAACGAGACCATCGTTGAGAGCACCATTTCAAGTCTACCCTCGCCGCAACTTCCAGCTGACACATAGCATGTACCGCGGCAGCAAGCAACAATCCGGAATAACTCACAATGACGGCCGATTTCATTCCCCACGCGTCCGCAGGGGTAGTGTAGAGGAGCAAACACATCACCAGGGGTAGTATCTTCGAAAGTGCAGGAAACCACATCGTTCTTCTCGATGTGCTGGTCTGCTGCGCAGAGGAAAGAAGACATTCGGATGGAAGGTCGAGAGAGAAGGCGTTGGGCCGGGACACGAAAGCGGAAACAAGCAACGACTTTGCAACAAGACATACACTTAAGGCCAAAACGAGACCGTTTGAACCACGCCCGATTATTCCTACCGGGGGCTACCGTATGTCACTGTAACGATCATGCTATGGAAAAGACACCTGGTATCGCTTGCCAAGCTTATTGTCCACGTCGTTGGAGGCACTATAGTAGTGCTAACATAACCCAACCTCATTCGAATGCCTTCTCTTCCGATGCGCAACCTACCTTGGACTGGGAGTCTGCTTTTGTTGGTCTTGACTGTTGGTGGTGGTGTTTGTAGGTCACGCGAGGACTACTGCGCAGTGCAGGAAGGCGAGCGGTTCTGAGGTATTGTGCAGTCGACGGCTGTCGTCAACTGGACAAAGTTCTTGGCTCTTTATCCTGGACAAAACAATTTGAACCGAGAGGGCGGACTGTCGGCAAAGCGCCTTATTTGAACCGCCGATGAAACGATCATATTCATTCCTGGGGGTGAAGCAAAGGATGGTTGAACCTCATTGGAACGATAATATTCCTGCGGGTGAAGCAAAGGATGACGTCGTGAGGTGCTGTCACCGGTCTGCGCGTACAGGAATAGCTCCGAATTTTTTAGTATCCCTTTCGTGACATAGCCAACCGACTCTATCGTTCGTGTCGCAAACCTGTGGTCGTGGCCATTCAAATCTCATTGTTACGAACACAGTGCGGCTCGGAAATTCGTCCCAAGAAAATTGTAGTCGTTGAAGTCGACGTCTTGTTCAAATGACCAACAAGTCGTGAAATGGAGCTGATGATTTCTCGTCGTCCAGATTTGTAGTCGTTGAAATCGAAGACGCTCTGTGCTGCATACATGTTGTTCAAATGACCAGCGAGACGTGAAATCGAGCTGATGGTCTCTCGCTTGACCAAGCACAACGCCGTACATACGACTCTCTCCTTGGGTCCGCCCGTTTGAACACATTACAATTGCCTGGACAGCAAAGGACAGCCTGCAGAGTTTGTGTGACTCTGTTCCGCAGTGGGGGGAGGCAGGTTTCGCGTCCAAACGTAGGTGTCAATTTTTGCAATATTTTCGTACCGGAAATCCTCTAAAATAACACCGGTGTCGAAATTTTGCTTGCGACGCCAGCGCACGAAACTCTTCGAAACGGCCTTGACGGTGTTTCCACGACTCTTAGTTGTCACGCCAGCTCTGCTACGTATTTCCCGCGTCCCAAATCTCGATGTGAAGCCGAGTCCCTCTCACACACATGAATCCCTCGTCGAGTCGCAAGAGAACATGCATGTAAACAAGGGGCATCGCTGCTCGAAATCAATTCACCATGGGACCAGTCGTGACCAAGTCACTCCGAAAGTCCAGGCCATCCATATCCATGACATTCATTTCCAGGGTTTTCTGTGTCCCGACTCTCAATGGCAAAGCCGAGTCGCGGCTTCCACGCACATGTCTCCGTCGTCGAGTCGCAGCAGCAAATCAAAACACCGGGGCACCGTTGCTAGAGATCAGTTTCACCGTCGGAGGAGCACGTGACAAACTCCCATTCTTGCCCATGGCATTCACATCCATCCATGATTTTCTGTTCCCGTGCAGTCCCGGTGTGAAACCGAGTCTCCACTTCAACACACGTGTTTCCCTGGCTGGATCACATCATCAGACATATGAAAACGCGGGCCGTCGTTGCCAACAATCTGTTCACGTCGGGTTCCAAGTCGCTTCGTCGTCGAGGGAACTGATAGGCATCTGAATTCTGAGTAACACCCTGCTCAAACAGTGGCAGAGGCAAGGACAGAAAGACATGCCAACCCATATTGCACCCCCGTGGCGCAATCCCCCGACACCAAATCATTGTCCAATGAAGTTTGCCACCCACACGCTCTTGCTGACGTTGGTCGCTGGGGCGTTTCCGTGGCTGCCACCCTCCCTACGCTGCGCGTTCGGTGAAGGATGATGGACTTCCCCCCCTGACACAATGTTGTGCTTGTGGATCTTGGGGGCTGCGTGCCTCCCTCACCCGCGCAGGCAAGTGTTAAGCCAACCCCTAGCGGCTCGTGCGCCCTCCTCCGACATAAATGCCGTCCCTGTCGGCTTCTTTTGAACGTGTGCCTTCCCACATCTGTATTCCCACCTTCGTCGGCCGTGGGAAAACACGGCGCAGTTGGTTTCGTGCCCATTGGGGGTGCGTTTTGAAGAGATTCGCGCCGTATCGTAAAGAAGCATGAAATCGGCACAGCCGAGGTGGTGCCGGGACATCGTGTTGGGTCATATCTTAGCAACAACCGGTCGCTTTAGGTCGAAAGGTGGCTTGCGCGACAGGCAATGTGGTTTCGAAGCATTTTGTGCCGTGTCGTAAAAACAACACCGGTGTCGTAAACAGCATTGCCGCCTAATGAACTACGTTTTGCGTGCTGAGACGGACGGCACCAAGGCCGAAGCGATACCACCAGCACCACTGAGTTTCTCATGCCAATGAGGAGCGTGAATCTTGTTGGAGGCACGTTCTTGCGGAAGCAACCTGTTCCAGGAAGGTCGGCCACGCACCCGTGAATCCCACCTTTGCCTCGCCAAGTAACGCGCGCCACGCGTCGTCGATGTGACGGGGAGAGCGAAGAACGTGGGGACTAACACTTTCACGAGGAAGAATAATATCTGGCATCGGAATTCCAGGGGCTTTGTCTAAGAAGATTTGAGGCTTCATGAGCCGAGTGGATGGTTCGTAGTTGTTACGCCAGCCCAACCCCCGCGCCTGACATTTTCGAAATATCGATAGGCCTGCAGCGCTACAGTATGCGTCTATACTTCGCTGATCGCCCCAGGGGTTTCCCAGTGGTTCATTTGGTGACCTCGCGACCTGCCAACCGTTGGACACGGAAGTTTGAATCTCAGCGCAGTTGCACGAAGTGGAATATTTCTCACAGCTTTCACAGACAAAAGTGGATGAGGAGGTTAGACTACATGTAGATGGTATGAAATACACCAACGTTTACATCATGGGCAGCGAGCAAAAGGAACCACCGAGTTCCTTCTCGCGATGAAACGTATGGCAGCCACCCCAATACAAGTTGGAGAAACTAATGACGGTACAAAAATACTTTCGTGTGGGGCCATCCCTTCCTCCCGTGTGACCCCTGCTGGTACTGCTAATAAAGTCCAGAACAAACGGGATATCATACGCACACACCGTGGGCGGCGGCCTTCTTTTTTTAAACGGGAATAGACACCTCCGTGTAGGCAACGTGCGCATGAGAGCAAACAATGAACCTCTCATGTACATACCGTTTGACACCTTGCGATCGCAGAGAACCTTGTCAATCTGATGAACCCGTAACTGACACTGCTGTCGTAAATCCGCCGGTAAATACTCTGGTACACGGTGCGGTGTCTTTCTCAAAACAACAGGCTTGTACGTGCCTAAAAGATCTCCCTCGCGGTGTGCGGGTTTTTTCACACGCGGTGTAAACGCAAACGCGCAACGCTGACATATTTTGGCTCGAAAACTCCCCCCACCACCTCAACCAATACGCATTCGTCGAATATCGTCGGGTGCCGACCTTGTCCGAAGTTAGTACAAAGATACAGATGTACTGAGATATGTAACCTCCCTCCCTCCCTTCGCCGCTCAGGACGTTCCACCCGTGAAGATGTCATCAAGCAACACCAGGAGAGGCCTATCACCATCCACCCATCAGCCTAGACTATCCACGGACGAAGAAAACTTGTGACAATGACTTTGTAGGGTACGCCCGAGCGGGAGCTGTCAGTACACTGGAACGCAACAGTACCAATGGGGGCATGCGTGACACATGGGCTGCTATTGCAGCCGCAGCAGTGATGAAAGCGTCGAACACTTTCCTTAACAAAATATCCTGTTGCCGTACATGCTCTTCCGCCCCCTTAACAACAAAAGTAGACGGTGTTGGGAACTCACACTAGTTCACCCAGAACAACTACTAGTGTATTAACAACATGTAAACCGACCGAGAAAAGAGAGGGAAAGCAAACGCCTCACGTGTCGGCAAGAACGAGGACATCTAGACAATCCCCAACGAACCCAGCTTGAAATGAATCCACCAGAAAACATTGCTTCAGCTCGGATTCCCGTTCGCAAACAGAATTAAAAACTCAAAAGGAATATCGCTACAAGAACCAAATACGTGGACAACCTATCCGTTCACCCGCACCAAACCGGGGAGTACTTGTTCGCCTACCGACTAAAAGGCAGTCTATGCCCTACAGGTGTGAAAAAGGGCGGCACGCATCCATAAAAGGGAGTATTAATAGTTTACTCGCCTGTCAACTAAACCATCGCCCATGCTCTAGAGGTGTGAAAAGGGCGATGCACATGGATCACAGTAAAGACGCGCTACACACCCTACCCTATCCATGGAGATATAGCATGTCTATCTCCACACGCCGACATTCAGACCGGGGTCTCTCAACAAGGTTCATCGCCGACCGGGCATCAAACGGGGATATCAAGAAAGAAAACAGCAAAACACACAAAATAGGATCTCAGACCCGCCACGCCTCCTCCGAAAACACGACGTCAACCTTCTCTTATCCGCAACCCTCAGATCGTCACACGCCAGTCAATCGTTGCCGTTTCCCGGCCATGGCAAATTTTTGTAGCAGTAGTCATTCCGGGTTTCTGCCTCGTCCCTTTGCAGGCGAGGAGGCTCGGCAGCGGGCACGTCTTCGTTCGAAATAGTACAGCCATCAATGGAGCGCAGACGTATGGCAGCATTCCTCCAGTCACTTCTGGGGGTGGTACCCTACAAACGCGGTAGTGATGCAAGCTTCCTGCATCCCGCTCCCATCGAAGACGCCGAAAAAAAACGACGGAAATCTAACGGTACGAAACGGCACCTGTCGCTGCTTATAGACGGCGGACGCGTTGAATCTGATGTCCCCGCGAGAGGCAGCTTTGTGGGGACGCAGAGGTCGCCGGAACCGTGGCACATGCCTCCTAGGTGATCTCACGCCAAGTCGACCGGTGCGGGAATTAGTAAAGGGGAGCCTCCCACTGGAAGGAAGAGGAATTTCGTTCAAACGGGCGTGGGGCAAAAAGCCGAAGGCGGTCAAGTGTGCACGATACTCTCATAGATGAGGTGCCGCGGGTTTGAAACCGTTATGGTACAGATGGAGATGGCGTGAGAAGCTAGGTCGAAGGCGAGTCGAGAACTTCATAGTTTGAGGTTAGAAACGAAAGTCATCGTGCAGGCTGCGGCAGTGTCCGAGAAAGGTGTGATAGATAGAAGCACTTGTCCACAGGCGGGATATCTACTGGGAGCCTCCGCTTCGCAGATGCTGAGGCATAAGACATGACACGGCTCTAATGCTACACACGTTGAGCGCGACCGAGGAGCTACATGCTTGACGTTGCCGGCGTCCTATTCTCCTACACAGAAAGCGCTGGTGATCCTGGTGGTATGCCAAAGCTCACCACTGAGGCGCATATCACAACGTCACAACCACAGCGCCAAGACCTGATGACCAGCTGTTCAACAAGACAGCGAGGAAGATCGACGAGACGGGACTGCGGTGTGTGAGATGCTAATTGGCTCACCTGAGTCTTTTTGGTGACGCTGTTGACGTAGTCTGGTTGTTTGGCCGGACCACACCGTCGACGCCGGACCAATACGCCCCATCCAGGGCAGCCGGAGAAACACAAGAGATGCGCAATAACAGCGTAGGAGCAAGGGCGCATGCTTTGCTGAGCATAGAGGACAAACCTGAGACGCCCCCGGCCGGGTCGTGTAACGTTTCAGCATTCTGAAACAATAGTCTTCGGAGAGGTGATTCCGCCACAGGCACTCCTACACTGTAGAGTCCTCTAACGTGGCCTACGGGAAGCACAATTAGACCTCGAGGTGCGTTAAAGGTTGTAACTTTCGCCCCAACCACGCTCTTGGTAAATATTAATATTTCAGGTGCCGGATATGTGGAGCCGGCAAACGCGCTTCGTTTATCACATCTCCAGGGCAAGGGCGGATATGTTGCAAAAGCGCAACACTCACATGTCCTGTTGTCGGGCGCGGTACGCTTGCTCCAGTTCTGAGGGAGAGGCGCGTCAACGTGGGAGGCAGCACTGCGAGCTCCAGCCCTCGAGTCCGTCGACGTGGTTCCAGCAGGAGCCGGCCACTGCTGCTGCGGGTGCGTTGTGCCTCCACCCTCGGATGCCGCTGCCGTTGACGACCTGTTGGACAGGTACACCGCCGTGCGGTATGAAGGCGCGGCGGGAATAGCACCCCGCGAGGGCGCCGGCGCGCCGCCAGCAGGAGGATTGCCCTCAACGCCAGATGCAGCACTAGCAGCAGCCAAGCTGGGACGGTGGTGGGGAGCCTGGGATGAAGCGGAGTGGTGAGAATTGTCCGAGGAAGCGTGCGAATACCGGCGTGACTGTGACATCGGTGCGTCGACAGCCTGTGGCCGTCTGTCGGGACCGCCGGAGGAATGTTCCCGTTGCAATGGTCGCTCCCACTGAGTGGTCTTGTTGATCGTGTCCAAGTAGTCTGGGACACAGCGGGAAAAAGAGAGGAGCATTAAGAACGGTGAGAGAAACGTCGCTCCCACGGGAGTCGAGAAGAGGGTCAAAGAGGGTCAAGTAGGGAGAAAATTTGGTGCGGAGACGGACCTGGGCAACCTCCACCTGACAGCATCTCAAAAGCAGTTGCTGCGTGACAGAACCATTCACGAAATTGATGCTGCACGCCCATCTGCAGCTAGGGGGACATTGCCTCACGTATTGGGTGCTGTGTGGAGCGACCGACAGCAGCAACCCGATCACGATAAGTATCTACCTGTTCGTCCCGTGAGGAGGTCATTTGTCAAGATGACGAATGCTCTCACGTCTGGCGAACCATGCTGTACATCGATCCAGTCTGAAAAGTAACGATTGTGTTCGTAGCACGAGATACCAAACCAGCGACGCTACTCCGGAGGACTTTCTTGCGCGCGCTGCCGATGTTTTTGGGGTCTAAGGTTGAAGGCGATAAAAGTGTGTGGCCACACCAGATGGGGTATTTCGGTCAAATATTGTGGACGGACCAGGCCGAGTCACACAGGAACAACTCCGCACAGTTTCTGTTAGTTGATTCTACTTTACTTCGAGCCTTTTTTCGACGCATCTTGCCTTGGGGGTATTTGCGAGATAGATGCGGCCGTCTCCCTCCCTCTTCGACCGGTAACAGTCGACAGTGCGTACCCCAAAAATCGGCTTTCGTCCGGGTTTTTGGGCAGAATGGGAGAACAAGCCCATATTGTGCGCCGTAATTCCAACTCCCGTCCCAAGAAGGGTCATAAGCGTGTGAGGTTGCCAAAGGAAACGCCGGGGGGGGGCGACTCCGTGCCAAGCACTACAAAGTCCGTCACATAGCTACGAGCGCTCTGCTATGGTGCCTGCGATTCACTGCGGTGGTTGAAAGAGAAAGACAACTACTTCAGAAGCCGACAACCGATATTGCTGACACTTACATTTTTTCCCGTCGCCGTCGGTGCCCTCTATCCAACCTGCAGGTAATGGCCCGCTGTTTGGGCGTGCTGACCGGTTGCCCTTCAAAGGAATCAAGACAAAACAAGCAACGTTCAGGGCAGACATATACCATGAGCCCAAGTGTGAAAGCGTCCATCGTTATTTAGTGCGACATGACACGTGAAACAGGGAGCTCGCGGAAACAATGTACTTTCTCACCTGGAAAATGCGGCCCAATGCAGAGTTGGATGGTGGCGGAGCAGAGCCACCGGCGTTATCCAGGTGGTTAGGCGACGCGGTCTGCTTGGCTCCAGTCATGACATTGAAGTAGTATATGCTCCCGTTAGGCCGCTGTTTCTTGACCCATTCCACGGGCAAGTCTTCCTCCGACGCATCGATCTCGACATCCTGTTAAAAGATACAAAAAACATTCGTACAGCAAGAACGAGGCGATGTGATGCTGGGGGATGTCCGCGATTGGTATTGATCTAGCGGCTTCAGGCGAGGAGAGGGCACACGTATCCACGTTGCCGAGGGTCACGTTCGCGCTAGATGAAAGCGAAACGAGGTATGCGCACGGCAGAGACGACAACAACGTCAACAATATCAGTATCGACCCGAATAGTGGTTCAAGCGAGTGCGCCTGCTCTTACCAGAGGAATCAACATCAACGCCGGTCCTGACTGCCTTTCGGGGGGAATGCCTGTTAAAAACACTACGGATCACCATAGCCACTATTCGGTAACTCTGTGAGACGACTTTACTGATATCCGGCAGCAGACATCGTCCAATCGTACCTGATTCGATGACCGGGAGCTGGTGTTGAGAATGGACAGGCGTTTGTTGGCGAATTCGGCTGGTTTCCCGATGGATTTTCTGAAGTTGCGCATCTTCCGGTCGGGCGATTGCTTTTCGGAGAAAACAAAGAACAGCCCGAAGCCGGTCACCACGAACTCTTTTTTATTGTCCAATTGTCGACGAATACGGCAACAGAACACAGCAGTGCACAACATCGTACAGCAGGTAACGACGCACGGGTAAGGTCAGCGACAATCCATCAACCCGTCGACTATCCAGCCCTCGAAACACGGTGCAGGCATCCCGCCTCGAAAATACGGTCGCCGAAGGGGCCGAAGCGCTTTCATTTCTGGTGCAACTGTACAGGTGCACCGCGTCGCATACTTCCACAATTCGGCGTGTGCGGCCCCTACAGTACAAGTGCGTGCTTGCTTATGAGCGGCGGACGACTTACGCCAGATTCCTCCAATGGCCCCGATGATTGACCACCCATCCACAGGATCGACCTCCTGTTGGTGGGTAGATTGAAAAACGTGTGCATCGCGGCATGGACGAGCAAAGCACCCACAGAAAGCACCAACGAGTGAGGATGAGAGGCAAAGGATTTACGTATCAGGCGCGAGGTACAAACACGGCACCGTGCTAAGCAGAGCTGCGGGGTGCGTGCGGAGTAGGTGGTAGCACACGAGCACAGGAATATTATGACTTTCGAACGAACATGTAATTGGCCAGGCACCTACGCGCCCCCCAGCGTTTTCTACATAACGCAGGAAGCGCCCCGCTCCAGCTTCCGCAATGAGACCACCGCGGACACGGCTCACGGCGCCAAACAGTTGCATTTGCGCAAAACACGGGCTACCATTCGTCAGCTCGGACCGGGTGTATTCGAAGTAGCTGCTAGATGTTCGGCGCTGAAAAGAGCGAACGCATGTCACATTCAATGGAAATCGCGGCGATCGTGGGTTAGTAGTTTCAGCACATCGGCATGTAACAAGACCGACCTCGATGGAGGTGAACTCGAACTTTCCGATGGACAATTCCACCATGAAGAACCCGAATTCGACGCTGTCGTAGTCTTCGGCGCCCCACCACCAGTGTTCGACACCCGTAATCGTTGCCTGGGAGAACGATCGCTGTTTCTCCTTTTTGTTGCCGTTCTCGTTGATCCCCGTAAACTCCGTGACGCCCAGCACCTGCACAGAGAAGGACAAACGCGGATCTTCTCCAATCAACATGCCATGGCGCGAGCAAACTTGCATCGTTTCGGCGCTGGTAACCTCGCAGCGTTCGCCACTTTTTGGACGCAAGTTCCACTCTTGGTGCAAATGGCACGAACTGGGGTAGTTTCTCGCCATACTCCCAAACAGACGCGGATAGCGCCGATTCGTGTGTGCACGAACTTCGGTTTGTCAACGAGGGAAAGGAATGGCTAAACCCTCCTGGCGACAACGATCAAAGTTGGAGGCGTGCACCGCACGAGGTATTAGACTACAGGTCGACAACAATATTAAATCCTTTGTGGTCTTCCGCTTCGAAAACGAAAACATCGGGGTCCATAACAAATGGGAGGGCATTTAACACGCACGCGTGTCGACGGTTACAAACATCGCTCTTGTAAGCCTCTGACAATTTGTTGAGAAAAAAAAAAAACGGACGTCTGGTTAACCTGTACACATGCTGGCAAGGTAATCTGTTTCGGATTCCCTGGAGGCACTAGCAGGGCCGACAAGGACAGACAGACCTTGGCAAGAGCTTGCCGAGGCCTGTCGAACGTTCGTACCTCGATTGAGGTTCGGGACCGATCAACGTATGAAACCAAAAACGACACAGAGTGCTCCGGCCAAACGCAAAACGACGCACCGAATGAGGCACGCGGGGCGGCGGAACGATGGAGGTATTTAACGCGTCATGGCGAACTATGTACGCAAAGAAGATGTGGTGAAGTTGACAGGAAATCTCTCTCGTGTACAGGCTCCAAGGTTAACCCTGAAAAAACAGCGGCCATAGGTCGGCGTAGTTGTTGACTCGGCCGTGGAACGACACGGGATCAAAAGAAGGGTGGATTGCGGGGCAACAACAAAGCGGATGCGGCCGACAGAACAAACCTCGTCCGCAAAAAAACACAAAAAAGTTGTCGACGTAACCGAAAAAAGTGGAATGAATAGGAGTTTTCTTGGTTATTGGCATGCAAAACGTTTCATACTGGCTGCTTTCGTCCACTTCAGCGCCTGCGAGGGGATGAGCCCTCGCATGAACATGTTCTGCAGGGCATGCCCGACGCCACCATCTGCTTCCATTCCAGCAAGCGAGCCAGACGGCCGCGCCACAACTCTCGCATCCTTGTGGCCTACGGCCCGCCTCGAGGGACGATGCTCTGGTGCTACCATTCGTTGGTGGCAAAAGTCTGCCAAGACGATGCGTCTCACCATATGGTTTATTGTCGCCTCGAAGGCGGTGTCGGTCGTCAAGTTCAGCCGCGAGTATGGCACCTTGGCGTCTACGCTCGCGCTCGTGAACGACTCTATGCTGGAGTCAGGCGGGATGAGGTACATATCGAGGAACTGCCTGTTGATGAGGTAGTAGGAATGGTCGTAGAAGGTATCCTTTTCGTCCCACAAGACCTGCGCGAAAGAAACATCAAAGCAATTGCGGGGGGGCTGAAGAGGAAGGAAGCGCTCTGCGCGTGCATGCACCGTCCGTGGCGGGGAAAAGACCGTGGCGGGGAAAAGACTAGGGGAATCCAACCCGAAGAACTAACGCCCTGGCGTAATTTCAAGTTGCCAATCGCACCACACGTACCACAATCTCGGCGCATCATGACTCCATGGGCATCAACAAGATTTGGCGATTGTTAGCAGAATCATCGCGTTGCCATGAAAATGTCATGCGGTTGATGCATTTTGTACGGTGCACTTAGGTCTGCTCTCTCAATGTGGGGAAGCGAACACATCTGCTACTCTCCTCTGCTTGCTCTCAACGTTCCCCGTGGTTGTGTTTGAGCTAGTGGTGGAGCGATTAGCTTTCAAAAGCATGCTGCACGGACTACAAACTCAAACACCACCTTTTACAGGCAAAGGGAAATACTCCCTAACGATACACATCAAGGTCTGCTTGACCTGGGATATACATCCAACCCCCACAACTCACCTTGTTTGACTGTATGCTCGCACGACCTTCCAACGAAAAACACGCTGGTAACACCAGTCACCGCTCTTGGGACTACCGAATACGACCAGCCCTCGGCCACAAAAGCCGAAAATCTCCTCAACTACGGCACCCACACCGAACCGTGCAAATTTTCACAAGGCTCTCAATGAAAAAGGTCTTATCTCCCAACGACGTTGTTTCGGATGGCTAACAAACTGAGAGTCGTACCGTCTGTTGAGATTTCGTGCTCGAACAAAAAGGCGTCGGCGGGAGTTGTGATTCCATCAAGCCGACTACGTGCGCAACGAGTGCCAGACAGCAGAATCGATGTTCCAATGCACCACACCCACGCGCGGTTGTATCGCCGGTAGACCCAAGCCACTACCACTCCTGCGATTTACACTTCTATCCTCACGTAGAAAGCCGTCGAAAAGGAGGTGACGCTTCCGTTCTTGACTCCGGTCTCGTCCACCGTCATCATGGACAAAGGAACAAACTTGCAGTTGGGATACACCTCCTCGAAAGGCTCGCTCACGTACGCGAAGTCGTCGGTGAAGTTCTGGTCGTAGTCGAGAAAACCCTGGATAATTATCGTTGGTGCGTTCGTGAACCCAACCCGGCAGGCAAAAGAGCGAGGGACAGTTGGTCTGGCTACCAAAAGTATTTCGACTCCATTGCCGGGTCTTGCTAGTGATTCAGTGAGGCGCAGCGGGCACGTTTTCTCTAGGCTATGGCCCAAGTTTCTGCGTAGTGTTGACGTCTCAAGCCCACCCCTGGCAATACAGGAAACGCACACGGCTCCAAATCATGTGGCTCGACGCAGGCTAGCACCGTAGCCGTATGACGCGGGGGTTGGACAGTGCCCCTCCTGAAGCAGTCTGTGCTGGTAAGCGGTTGACCGGTGGTGAACGCCATCGGGCGAATTGCCCAAACTCTAGCAATGCACATGGGGCCAGGTCAAGCGGGGCAGAAAGACCCGCACTCCGCCGAAACGAAGTTGAGTCGCGGCAAGGGTACATCTGGTCCCACTCGTACACTCTCATGCAAGGAACACAGCAAAAGAACTTGAGCTGCCTCGGACGAGCAGCGGAGGCGCTCAAAACGGCTATTTTCATCTATACATAGAGAGGAACGTCAACATACAATGGGTCTCGCGAGGGGTTCAGCAACGCGGCAAGGGCATCCTTCGGGCGACTACCCCAACAGCAGCAATACCTTGAGGCGCCTCGGCTGAAGCAGTTCGGGCACTGCATACCTGCCTGCGTTGGAGGGGGGTAGGGGGTACACTAAAGGAATGCCGGACACACGACGAAAATCGGGCATATTGCTTCGTTTCATGTGAAAGCACAACATCCTGTTCTCAGCTTCTTCAGTGTTTAGACAACAGACATTTCTACTTCGTTCTTCAACACTAGCTTGTGCCTGTTGTCTAGAATCGGCGCTGGGAGTAGGCTCACTCCACACAAATGGGCAACAGCATGTCCAGTGGGGAAAACCCCTTCCACAGAAACCGAAACCATGCACGTCAGCATATTGGGGTCCCTTGACTGACGCATAAATACGTGACTTCTGCTTCTCGTGGAGCGCGTAGGGAAGCACCATGCTTTTATGTGCATCCTTGAAAATACCGAGTGCTTGCAGAGCGCAAACGAGAGAAGCAAAACAGCCCCTAGCCAAACCTCAAACCACACGCCCCAACGTCGAGGCCCAAGATACGGGAAGCGGACTAGGTCACGGCTGTTACTCACCGTTTGGTTGAACATAGAAGTAAAACTGAGGTCCTCGAAGCAATCGTTGTCGTAGTCGAGGCACCCCTTCCCGAACGTGGTGCAGAGCGCCACATCAGGGAACGTATAGTGCTCTTGCTGCGTTGCCGGTGGCCACCACGCAAGGTGGCCAGTATCAAGCGGTTGCGGCGGAGATACATGAGGGAAGAAGGTGGTGCGCTTCAGAAAGTCCACACGAGCTCATACAGGTCTCTCAAACCTACAACTACAGTCAGTCCACCACAAGGAGCGTGGTACCCTAGGCACTCGAGCCGAAAGAATCCTTGCTTTTAGGACGGCCGCGAAAGCGTTGTGCGCTGGTGAGGGCATTTTCTTCCCTCTTCCCGCAAACCTACGCTCAACAGTCTGTATTTTCTCGGAACACAGAAGTTTCCCTCACGCGAAATGCGCCATTTGTAGCGGGACGACGCCAGTCTTGCGTCGGAAAGGAAACACCGCGCGAACAGTCCGTCCATAGCTGTTGCGCCATTGTCCTCTACCATAGATGTGAAAAAAAAACGTTGCCTGTGATATGTTCAGTATCCCCTCGAGAAGTTTCAGCTTCTGACCGCTGTTTGGCCAGGGCTTAGATAGTACGGGAGGGGGGGGGGGGGGCGTACTCTTACGTTTAGCATGCCTTAGCGGTTAGACCATTGACCACGCACCCTCGAGAGGACAGAGCATTGTTCCCACACGACCGATCACTGATGGCCAATCCTTCCTTCCTACTTTGCCGACGGTGGTTCAGAATGTCTTCCCTTGTCTATCCATATCCTATCGATATCCCGCATACCCACTTGCTATGCCCCATTGCCGCTACCGTCTTCTCCTGGCTGTTCCATGCCTCAAACATCTCCCTCAATCTTCCTTCTACTTTTCCCAGCTCAGTCACGTACACGTCCCTCTCCTTGTAGAACGGCGGAATTCCGCAACTACATGAACCCGGTCTTCGAACTCGGAGCCGCAATCACACCGGAACTTGTCATCGTCTACCTTCCCAAATCTTCGCCTACGTTCTGGAGGCCAATGCCCCCGGCTCTAAATTTGACCTTCAGCTTTTTCCCTGCATCCATTGGTGGTACGGGAAGGGGTGGAGCGAATGTGAGGTGGTCCATCGTACCTTGAGCTCGATGCTCGAAGCGGGGTCCTTTCGAGACTCAACAGTCTCCCATATGATGTACCCAACGTAAGCCAGGAAGCCCACCAGGAGGCCTATCCAGATGATCGTGGCCTTCTGGCGGTGCTCCTTGACCACCATTCTTGGAAGCCTATTTCGATCAGTCGCGTCGAGTTGGTCGTGGCGAGGAGGCAATGAACGGGGCCGGGCACAGGCAAAAGAGCGCGTTGGTGACAGCAGCACAAGCAGCAGCAGCAGCAGCAGCAGCAGCAACAGCAACAGCAACAAAGGAACGATTGGCTGCTTGGACGTTGGCTATTCCGATTCCAGCGAAATCAAGAAAGCGCGTGACAGGCCTAGGGCGCCCACGATCAGGTTGCAAGGTAACACGAACATAGATTCCCTTGTACTGCTTGGGGAATGGCTGTCCTTGACAGCACCCGTAGCTGATCCTCTGATCAACGGATGCACCGCCTTACAAGAAATTAGAACTTGAACCGACCCCCACTAAAACCTATATTGGGTATAATCTCTTGCGGTTTCCCCACTGGTCAAAGAAGGAGCGAGGGATGCACAAAACAACTTTGCTGTATGGAGGCATGAGCATCCGCGCTCTACAACGCAGGATGATCGTGGTTGCTTCGCCATGATGCTTGCGAAGTGGTTGGGTACATGAGACATGGGCAAGAACATAAACACAAAGACGCCAAAGGGCATCCTCGCCCACATTGCGTGCATACGCACACACCCCTGCCCAGACACTGCAGAGCATCACGAGGTCCTGTTGCGAATCACGATGTCCCGTTGCGAACCAAGCCACCAACACGGGGCTGCTAGCACTGGTAGCTGCGTGGCCGAGTACGAAGGAAGTGCATCTTCGGAGAACTCCTTGTATTGTATCGCCTGCTTTTTTGTCGCCATTCGCAGACTGGGTTTTCGCAGAGAAGTGTCTCTGCTATTCCGGGCAGCTCTTTGGGAATGCAACCGGGCCGATACCCCCAGACTTTAGGGTGTGGGAGCGATCACACAAACGCCAAGCTACATACCCACTACTGCTGTATTATTCTCATGTGGTGTGCACTGTTGCGGTAAAAGAGGGTGAAAGGATCGAAGGCTACTGATCTCGGTTCTTGGCTGATTTTGAAAGCAACCAAAAGAGCGCCCAGCCACCACACACTAGATACATACACCTGACCATTTGGAAGCCGCTGGACACGAAAAAATCTGTGGGTGTTGTTGCACAGCAGAGCAGAGGTTGGGGATGGTCTCCACCAGGAAATCACGCTGTCTGTACCTTGAAGGGATTGAAGACTATTTTACGCTGACTCTATTTTCATACATACTTAAACCCAACATGAAAGAGAAAAGCAGCCTTCCCGCCGTTCAGATATTTTGTACTTCTATTCTACAGTTACCAGTAGAGGACACCATGAAGAGGCGTCGTGTTTACTGGCACGTTCAGGCTTGCTACTGGAGCTGAAATATCGAATTATCGACGGTCGAAGCAGCTTCTGAAAACAGTCCGACATCTGCGTCGGAACCCAACATTTGTCAACGTCGTGCTCACCGCCACGGACCGTAAACCCCTGAACGAAGGGCCGTCACTACATACACCTCGCTGCTACAAGGGTTGTTGCCTGTCACTACTGTAGTACACCGCGGTATATTGGGGATCACGAGTACTACTGCCACAAGTCGCGGACCACACATTCTGTCTGCTCCACGGGTTTGGTACACACAGCAGTACTTCAACGCTTCGAAGTACCAATCTCCGCCACCTCTGTCTTGGAGGGCTTGAACGAGATGTTTCACCTTCAGAAATCAAAACGAGGCTCTTGGATGTATTCTTATCAGCAGCATACGATAGCCCCACAATAAGAAAGAAACCTACAGCAGTAGTCAATGAGAAAATGGAACTTCGGCTGGTCGTTCGACCCAAAAGAAGGAACGGAGGTTCGGCTCGATTATGACGTTTCTTACCGCCGGGCCCGTTCTACATACCGCAACGGAAGGTGTACATGGACTGACAGGTGCCCAACAACGGGCCCGTTCTATACTGATGTACACCGCAACGGAAGGTCTGTATGAAGGTACTGGTGCCCAAACAACAAACACAGCACTGCTATGCCTATGTGCTGAAGTACCGATGTGGTGTTGGCGGGTGCCATCTGAAATGTTACATTTACAATCAGTTCCTGATAACTTCTGAGCAAAGTATTCACAGACAGCTTTGGCGCGATCGATCAGAGCGCTCTTGTTGGGCTGTGCTATTGAGAATGTGACGGCTGCAGCTTTGTATTAGTGCTTACGGCTGCTGCGTCCGAATAGTCCTCAAACGTGGGTCCACACCAACATCTTTTACTGCAGCTCGCCGTCACAGACAGACCCGATCGCCTCAACTGGGAGTCTGAGGTAGGTCAGCAGCTGTTGGTACCGATTGGTTTTTCAAGCCATTGCTTTACGGACAACCAACCCGCTTCTGTTCGGTGTTGGCTGAAAACAGCAGTTGCCGCACCGCTCTCGTCGTGTACTGCTGTATGATACAAAAGACTGCGCACACCACCGTACCTGAATCACGAACGTGCAGGGCAGCCATAGCGAACACGCCGTTTCCTACTTCCAACGCACATAGATACACGAACGCACCAACAACAATATTGACACATCGTTTGAGTCCGTCCGTGTAAACTACGCATGCATGCATTCTGCCGCTTCGAATGCGATGGCAGCAGCACCCTTGTCCGGCAGACAAGGGGTAGATTGAGGTTGGGTTTGCAAGGTTGGGTGATAGGATGCCACTCACCATAGTCCAGGCGGCGAGGCGAAGCGATCGTCCTCATCAGCTGGTTGTACGGCAGCCTGTGCCGTACTTCCCGCGGATGGTGCTGGAAGGGTCGCCATAGGTCAAGGTTGTATGTAGCCAGAGGTTAGGGTAGACTACAGTACAGCAGTACTGCTGTAGTAGTCTCTCACAGCTGCTGTCCAAGGTTGTTTGCCCACTTTGACTTATGACGAGGACCCGTTGTCAGCTCTCCGCCAAACTTGTTTGATGCCGTCGCCCCCACTCTGTCGTCGATGGTTTGCGGTACCCCTTGCGGTCGTGGAACCGTGGGTGGTACGGTATGCCCGTTTCCCTGTCCTGGCTTCGCTCGGCTCTGCCACTTGCCTCTGGCTCCTGTTGCTTCTTGTTGTGTTGCAGGTTCGCCGAATGCCCGCGTTTTTTTCTCCGGGTGCGGGAGGCGTCCGCGGCAGGAAAAAATAACCAACCACAAACACAAAGTGATAGGACTTGACAGATTTACTTGAAGCGAACAGGTGCATATTTTTGTGAAGAACTACTGTAAATCCCTCACCCAAGTACTGTAGTACATGTAGATCATTCCCTTGCTTCGCGGGATATACACCCTTCCTCCTTTTCCTTCCACGCCCCACCCCCCACCCTCTCTCTCCCTGTCTGTGTGTGCGTGTGTGCAATGTGGCTGTACATACACCAGTCTGCCCTACACCGTACAATATTACATAATGTGAGATCATCCTCCTGAACTACATCTCGCTCCAATCTCCGATGACGGAGGAACATGAAATGCCCTGCTGTTTGCTTGGGCGGGATCCAGGTTGAAGCACGCCTTCTACTTGCTTCCAGGTGACCGCCACACTTTCTTACATTCGAGCGAGAAGCAGCCCGCGGGAGCCCGGGGTCTCTTAGATTAGTCTATAGATCAGCATATTGTCTACGCTCACGCAGCCGGTTTGAATGTTTGAACCGTTCGTTCTCGCTCTAAAATTACACGCGAGAGGACGGCACACTGCGGCATGTCTGATGTGTTTTTTTTTGTTGTTGACCCAGTAGAGAACTGCGCTAATACCAGGAATGTCCATAACGGGTACCGGTTATAACCGGTTACAGGGTTCAGCGGTAGGTACCCTGGAAATCCCAGGTTATTTTTCAGTTCCGGGGGGGGCGTCACTGGGGGGGGGGTTATTTCAACCTGCGCCCCCCCCGCACACAGCACAAAGAAAGTCAGCAGCAGCACTCAGCACTTAGCACACACCGCAAGCACAGCAGACCATCCTCTACCCACACAGTGCCATCATCAATCAAAGACATCATCTCCCGTGCCATTTGCACATCTATCTAACGACACGAAATTACACAAACCGGTAAGAAAATGGTGATACCACTCCCGTGGAAAAATGGTGGTTCCGCACATACATACTCCGAAATGTGTCCGTACATATTATGCATACCCCACACTGACAATACGTTTGAAAACTGAGGGAGATTGCATGCCCTACGACTAAAAGAAGAGTGCCACACAACGCCCGACTACCCAACCAACAGTACCTAACACATTTATTTCTTCTGCACCTTCCCAACATAACATATATATATATGATGTATGAGACACACAAGACAGCTAGCTACCAAACTGTTTTGTTGAGCCTGTTACCCGCAGGGGAGATGTCCCTCTATGCTGCCTGGGAAATCGTAGACATACAGGTACTTTCTGACGCTATGAATTCATTGATTGCTAATCTGTCTCAAGACTCTTTTCTATGATAGAGTGGATTCGTTGTGTCATATTAAGAAAAATAAAAAGACATCATGGAAGTCTGGAGTCTGAGTTTGTTTTCGCTTCCAAATATTGTCCGCTCGAGCTGGCTCCAACCAATAATTAATGTAGAATAACAACGTGCGCGATGTTTTGTGTTGAAATACAAGCGTTGTAAGACAAACAGTCCCTCTTCGGGCAATGCGCATGTTGGTCTTGCGTCACCTGAGGGAGGGTAGACACCCACTTCCCGAAGGGAGACCTTGTATCACGTAAGATATCACACCCCCCGGACCGATTTTGATTTTTGAAAGTGTGAACAACGAGAGCCTAGATAGAGGAGAGTGGCGGTGCCGAAATATAAATGGCGGCGTTGAAATCGACCCCTCGAGAGCTTTCCGAAAACGAATAGTTTTTTTTTGCGGTCGCGGTGGTGCCCTCTACTGCCAATCCAATACAGCAGGAGGTTGTATTTGTACACGAGCAGACTTGTACCTACGTATCGAGCGGCAAGTAATGTTCTTCAACATAATATGATGGAAAGATCCAAAATATGTTTTGCAAACAAAGGCGAGTTTCGGCGCTGTTCGTTCGAAGAACGAGAAGAGTCTCAAGAGACCGTCAGTTGGTCAGCTGCGAGCGTTGAACAATTTCCGCGTATTTTCCTGCCACGCTGGCTCAGATTGTTGCACACTGCTGCTGCCTGCGCCCCCGCTCCTGGAAGAGAAAACAGCAGCTCCTCCAGCGCCAGTGGCCGCCTACTCTTGTTCGCGGAAGTGTTGGAACCGCCGGTGCTATTCAGATCGGACTGTGTGCTAAGTGTGTGCGTTGTTTGGTTTCCTTCCTCTCACGGCAGAGGGGGAAAAAGAAAAAGGAAGGACGGGAATGCGTGGTCACGGGGCAGAGCGAACTGGGGCAGCGCCCGCAGCGCCAGCAGCTGTGCAGCCAATCCAGGATGTGGACGACGAAGACGAAGATGATCGCTTTGCCTCGCCCCCGGGGTTGTGGTGAGAATGATTGCGAGGAGGACCACGCGTGCTGTTATGTACTCCGGAGTACTGCTGTAGTTTGGAGCTTGCAATTTTCAGTGCCAACAAACTGCTGTTCCTGGTACAAAAACTGCTGCAAAGATTCCAACCGCTTTCCGAATCGGTACGTTGCCGTCCGATGGTTGCCTGGACATGTACTGCGGTGTGTATAAAGTACTGCTGTAGTTCGTCTTCTTCAATCGGGTGTGGTCCATTTCATCCTCCGCCTACTGAAAGAGGGCACTTCGCATTCTTCCACACGCACACAACGAGGGGGCGTATTGTCAGGAGTCAGACCTCCTTGTTGCCCGTAGGCTCGCTCTGGCATCCCATCGAACCGGGACGAGTTGCAGGCCATCGTACATAAAGTCGGTAAATCTGAAGGCTGGCAGCTTCTAGTGTATCAATACATACCACATGTATATAATACGCGCAGTCTGCACACGCAGGCCGGAACTCTCTAGATTAGATATAGTCTAGGTCATGTTGGGCCAGATCTACATAGTGTGCCTGCCATCATCGTATTTCCGCTCTACTGTAGATAAACCGTTGCGTTCAAATCACATGCGGAGGCAGCACCCGATGGCATGTGGCATAAACCAAATGATTTTTTACCGGACACTGCTGTACTGCTGTACATACCAAATCGGGTGTAGCGGGCCGTGGGGTGTGTTGTCTCGAGCGGCTGCAGCTCGTGGCTGCTGTGTACTTGCATTTGCAGTTGTAGGGTTCAAGATTGGGTCATGACAAGTTCAGGACCTTTGATGAATTCAAGGCTGCCTGCCCGCAGATGATTCTGATGCAACGACAGGTGGTGACCGAGTGAATTTAGTGGCGAAAAGTGTGTCGTGATGTGCATTTCAAGTGGAGGTATCACATGGACCTCGTTGATGTATATATGCTCCTCGGGTTTTCATCCTCGCAGTGGTGGGGCTGTATAGGGCTTACCACGCAAGTGTTGAGAGGTTGAAGTGGTCTCCATTTCAGAATAACCGGCTGTTGGGTACCAACGCTTCCCCCCCATGACCCTCTGACGACAGTGGGGTTGGTACCTTCGTACCGTAAGGTTGCGAGTCGGCGCACAGGGGAGCGATCGATTTTCAAAGCGTAATTTCTCCACAACCAGGAGGGTGCGAGCGCCAAATGATACTCCTCAGGAAAGCTCCAGATGAGATATTTCCAAAACCGCCCTATTCGACAGCAGTGGTAACCTCCGGGTTGTGGAGAAAATACGCCTTGAAATCGTTCGCACCCCTGTGCGCCGACTCGCATCCTTACGGCATTCTCCTAATTCGAACCCTGGCGGAGGACAAGCCGCAATTATACGCACACCCAAAACCGTACGTACCATGCCCTGGGCAGCGGGCAGCCACTGCTGGAGTGCCTCCGATTGCAAGCCAGCCTCGCCAGACTTCACGACGCGCCAGTACAGGGTCTGTGGAGGCTAACTCCACGGGCGGTATGGTTGACCCACGTGGCGACAACGACGAGATGCACCGTGTCTGCGACCCAGCTGGCTGTCTGTGCACCCCCCCCCCCCCCCAGTCCCGGCCTTAGTAGAATTATGTCCTACCGCGGTACCATTGTGCCACGTAACATGAAGTCTCTCTTGTGCACGTCTACTTTGCTACTTTGCTTTCCTCGACCCATATTCGTTCATCCGTGCTACGTTGACCTCACAAACATGGCGTTGTGCATGCCGAACTTCTTGCTCGGCGATATCCTCGAGTTGACAACTACAACAGTGTTTTCCTAGCCCCGAGTACAGTGGCGGACGCACTACGGTTGCCCCGGACGAATCGCCCGTTCCTCCTTGTTCAGAATGATCGAGCTCCTCTTCTGGATCTGAGACTAAACACCCATGACATATCCGACACGTCAGGTGTCTGCCACATCTTTTTCTTGGGGTTATTTCGGTGACTCGCGTTTTTGTTCTTTATTTGTGGTATGTGCCAAGCAGGCACAACAAGGCGTTGACGCAGTGTTTAGCACGATTGTTATCATGTCCTCCATCATGAGCATCTTCATATGGCAGTGTAGGCAAGGCATCCGCTCTAGGCAAGGCATCCGCTCTATAATTCCCTCACCTTCATTATTGGTACGTTAAACCGGTATGAGAGAAAGCCGGAAGTTTAGAGAGAAATACTGGTTTGTCCCGACCCTCTCTTAAACCGTAGCCACCACTAGCTTGTACAAAGTACTCGAGTACGTGGTACGAAGTACGGTGGCAAAACTGTCAGGAAGGCATCAGAAATCACAACGGAAACACAAGAATGGTCCATATTATGAACCGTCCATTCTTTGCCATGTGTAGACTAAAGTAGTTTCGTATTTTCCTATATTGACTAAAAGAACAGCATGCTAACTGCCATGGGACGCGGTCAAGCCTCCACGGAAAGCTTTGCAGGCTTGGAATAGTTTTCTTGCACTCCTAAAGAACGGTTGCTGTAGCTTCAAACAAGCCACGTTTTACATATCCCATTGAAGCTTTCAAGGACTATCGATGCGTGTCCCGAGGGGTTGGGAGCCAAACGTTTGAGCAACAGCATTGAAGCACGGCGGCCAGGTTCCATCGAAAGTAAGGGGGAGCTACGATGAGCGGCCGCAATTTCCCGCGAGTTCAATTCGGTGAACTCGTGGGATGAAGTTTGCCCGGCGGCCAGTTTCCCTCGATGGGTTGCCCTCTGCCTTTACGGTAGGAGGTGAATCCAGTCCTTTGAGTGCTCTCTCGACACAAACCTCCAGTTTTCTCGTTTGCGTTTACGCCCATTCCAAGCCCGAACCCCAATCACCTTGTGGCGCATCGAGGACCGTTTTCGTTGCCGTCGAAGGGCGGAGGCTAGGGCTCTTGACAGAGTCTCTTCCGGGTATTGACATCATTTGGTGGACCCCGTCATGACGATCATGTTTTGGCAGAACCCTTACCCACGCGTGAGACCCAAACCTTCTCACGAACGGTCGCCAAGGTTTGGTCACCATGGAAAGGATTTAAGGCCAGGTTTCTGAACGACCAAAATACGGGAGAGGGTCCCGACCGAGTCAATGGCATGTCATGGCATCCGTGAACCGTCATGCATGCCTCATTCATGACGACTGCTGTCTCTTTTTTCTGATAAGCTTGCTGGTTTTGTTCGAAAGAGTCATAAGCTTCACTTGCTGCTGTCGGATGGCCAAATTGGCATCACACATACCACCATGTACTCGATTGAAGTGGCGCCTACCCGGTGTGTGTGTGTTACCCAGCGTGATGCCGTCCGCCACGACTAACCCCGCCCCCACTGACGTGGATCGGCCAGGCTGCCGAGGCTTGTCGTGAAGAGGCACCGCCAGAAAGCGACCGTCATCTGGATCCTTCTTCTCCTGGGATTTCTGGGTTACGTGGCGTACATCATATGGCAGACAATCGAGTCCAGAAAGGACCCGGCTTCAAGCATCGAGCTAAAGGTACGATGACCGCCACAAAAGAACGCGCAGCGAGGCCAGAAGATAGACAACAAACTCGTGGTCTTTCTTGTTGTTCGTATGTTTCAACGTGGACCTGAGCCATACGTGAAACCTCTGTTTTCAGGCTCCCCCATGTCCACTTCATTCTCAATGTCGACGGACCTTTTAGCAGCCGAAATCAAACCGTGCGGGTGACCATCGAGAACATGAAGCCAGTTATACATTGGATGGACAGCAGCGCTGGCGAGGGGAGTCACCCTCCTCAGTGTGAAACTGTCGGCAGCCTGTTACAGAAGCCGAAATCAAACCGTAACACAGACTACATAGTCTAACGGCTTGATGTCGGCTTCTTAAGACCCCGCAACGTGGTCGAGGCAGTAAGAGCGATCGCAGAGGGCGGTAGGGTGAACGACAAAGACAAACCCTCTTGATTGGCGTTGCTAGATAGGACCTGTTCATGTTACACCCCCAAATGGCATGCTGCGATCATGCTCCCAAGCCGTCGTGCTTCGGCCTAGCAGTTTCCCAGGAAAAAACAAGCCATGGTGCTTGTCTTCATGCTGGCAAGCGTTTTTTGTTCCTCTGCAAGCCTGCCAGAGTTCTGTTTTCCGATCGCCTGCCGCCGGCTCCACCGCGTCCGCTGCTGCTATCCCGCGCGCCTGCTGTTGCTTTTTTCTCGCGCACCCCCTTTCCTAACGAGCAGCAAGAGCACTACGAGTTTGCTGACATCATGTTTTGCACGGAGTTCACCAACGGCTGCCTGGAGGAAACCAACTCTTGCTTCGATTTCTCAGCGGGCGCTATGGTTTCCGCCGAGGTATGTCGTCGTCGCACATTGAGTCGGTAAAATAAATCAGGTAGGCCTTGCTTCTGGGTGGCCCGGGCTTGTTCCGTGTCGCGCACACTCTGATCGGCCTCGGAATCGAACATCGGGCCTTGGCGTGCGGACACACCGGTAGGCTCTGCCCCCGGCCGTTACGCATCTACCTCCGCAATGACGTGTATGCACGACAAAACCCGTTCGATCCCTCTCAGCTTCCCGGAGGAACTATTTCCAGCCTACGCGGTGGTCACTTGGGGCCGGGGGTAGAGCTGATTCGGGCGGACGCTTCTTCGTAGTCATGTGTGGTCGGGCACGTGTCCCGGACTGTAGAGAAGGGTGGTAGTAGATGCCGCATGCCGCACTTGTCCCCCCCCTTTTTTTTTCGCACACAAGGCGGCAGTGATATGTATGCACACAAGCGCTGTTGGTGTTCGACGTCCGACCCATGCATGCAAGTATTGTTGTTGTTGTTGTTGTTGTTGTTACGGCATTGTTTTACCCGTGGCACTCTCTCGGTAACGAAATCCCTCCGCGCCCGAACCAGGGGTTCACCGACGACCTCGACACCTTCCTCGACGACAACGCGGACGCCACGTCGGCCATAGAGGAAGAGTTCCCCCACTGCCGCGTGATCCCTCTGTCCCGGCTGACGATGGACGAAGACGGGATCAACAGCGGAGACGTGGATTCATTCGACGCTTCATTCTATGTGAGAGAAAGAAAAGCGTCGGTCAGAGTGAGGCTGCCTCCAGAGTGTGCGGTGCTGCTCTTTGCGGGGGGTTGCAAAAATGCCGCCGTCGATGGGGAGGAGGTTGTTTGATTCCTCGGTTTTTGTTTGGGCAGAATGGAAGGTCGAAGAAGACCAAGGGGCCGGTGTTGGGTGGGTGGACCGGGCCGTTGTGTGCAAGACGAGCCTGCACTATAGCACGCGTGGGCAACGAAAACGACCTTCAAAGCACACGGACGCACCTCGGTGTTTTCTGGCCGCCCGGGGAACGCGCAGCACCGGAGCGAAAGCTCCGGGTGTTTGGGGCGAAAACAAAGACGTCGTGTGCTGGTTTACCGTGCTCCTGCACGCACGTAACCACCGTCTGGTAGCAAACAAGTGTAGCTAGTTTTGTGTCGAAGTTGCTGGAAGGCATCGATCCACGCAAAGCAGACTCTTGGTCTTCTTTTTCGCGCCGGGGGTGTATTGTCTGTGTTGCCCATAGGAAAAGGAAGCACGTCTTTGTCAGGTGTATGCTACCTCTTGCTAGCCTTGTGGTCGACCACTCCACATCCCGGGTTCAACTTCCCCGCCTTCCCTGCAATTTCCACCATTCGCGAGGATAAACAAAGGCTTGCCCTCAGCTACTGATTTTTATCGACAATAGACACAAGTGCATACATACATGTAACACACAGATCATTTTCGGTTCTGAACGGCTAACGCTCTTGGGGCGCGTTTTTTTTTTTTGTGTTCTTCTGCTCAGTTCCTGTGGTACGAGAGCGCTGACACGTTCGACCCAGAGATCTACCCCATCAACGCCCAGTTCTTGAGCGCGTACCTGATCGACGTCGAAGCCGGCGTCGAGCCCCTGGAGGGGAAGAGCGTGGACGTCAAGCTGCCTTACGCGCGAATCGAGCCGACCACCGCCACAGAGCTCACGACAACTGTGAACCACATGGTGAGCTTTTTTTGGCGCATGTCAGACCGCCGCCGTATTAGATTGGTTTCCCTCAAGGGCTGTTGCTTGCCATCGGATGGAGCTACCCCCCCCCTCCCCCCCCCCCCCC